CTGGCGCATGTAATAAAGATCGATTTCGTCATTGTGAACCCAAACTCGAATGTGTTAATTTCGATTTAACCTGTTCTTGTATCGAAGATCCCAGCCGCTTTCCCGAGCTGAGTTAGTCGGTGGATGTCCATTTTACTTTTGATTGTTAAAAATTGATGCGGGAATTCGACTTTTCCGCAATACTCTCGCGAGAGTTTGGCGCCCAATTTTCGAGCAAAATAATTGTTGAATTTTGTCAGTCCCATGGTGCTAACACAAGTTTGTGGTGCCCGGTCAGCCTCCACTCCCGTCCGAAGTTTCATCACGATTACGTGACAGAATATATATATGCTCAGGCATGTTCGTTTCATGTTGATTACAATAGTTGCAGTAAATTTTATATTTCAATCTTTCGTCAGCACGCACGTTTTTATATAATAAATGCAAAAAAGACCAGTTTTGGAAATAAAAGTTCTGAGAAGGCCGAAAATATATCGTCCTAATTTATTTTTAATATAACATTAAAAGTTGACACACACACACACACATAATTTGGTATGCTTTCTTTCTTCACACTTTTGTATTAAAATAACAACGCGACCTTTAGTAGAAAAAAAAGTGGAAGATCAATACGGAAATGCCAATACTAGTTGCATACATTCAAAAATATTGACTCTTTCAGTTTAGTATGTTCTGAGGATGCTCTAGAACTAGGGACTAAACAATTTTTATGAATAAGAAGTATCTTCAGTTAAGATAGATGTAGAAAAGATTCAGAGTTTTCAATTTAGTACATTAGCAGCAAATTGAAATGATGCATTATGACATTAATTGATACAGTCCAAACTCCTTATAAGGACGCTCGTTAAAAGGCCATCTTCGTTGATGGCCGCATCTTTCCAACCAAAAGCCGAGACAGGAAATTAGTCCGATCCTGCGTCCAAACAGTGACCGTGTAGAATTAATCAATTATATTCCGAGAAGATGTCGTTGCCGTTGCAAAATTTAAATCATGTCTAGTCGTAATGTCAGCATGTTTGAACGAAAACGTGTGTTTCGTAGAGTCATCTTTGTTTACATAATGCTAACGCGATAGATGAACGTAGGAACGATTGGGTACTAAGATTCTTGGAACTCTTCCTCTGTGCCCCCATTGCTCTTTTTATAGCGAGCTTCGACTTTAATTTGAATATTTGCAAATACCAGTAAATAATATACTCTTAGAGTAATATCTATAAAATAAATTATTGCCCAATATGCATTCAATTTACAGGGAATTTCAAGTTTCGGATGTATATGGAGCAGTAACATTTGCAATGTCCAATACTTTTTGTTTCAAAACAGAACAATTACAAAGATTTAAACATTGGGTGTCGAATATGTGTATCGAAGTGAGTGGGTCAACCTCTTAAACAACTGGTTTAAAATTCACAGAAAAATCATGAGCATTTAGATGGAACGGTAACATTTGCAATAATAAATGGTTATGTTAGCATTATACATACGGTGTTCGACTTGAAGAAAAAGCGCGCTCTCACGCTCACGCTTTTCGTGCCCTACCTTGTTGGCGAAAGCGTCTGCTAACACAAGATGGAAGCGGTTATGCGTTTTTGGCTCTTATTCACGACGTCAGGAACGAATCTGACAGCGCGCAAAGCGCCAAATCGAACGGGGTAAACAATGATCACAGGCACGGAAAGCGTGTAACCGCCCATATCGAACGTACCCTTGAACGAGTCGAAACACCAGGTCTGAATATTTTGCAAGTTCTTTATTCCTTTTTTACACAAACAACGTCCACCCTGTTGGCGCCACAGTCTTACATACAGGTCTCGCAACTCCCATGGAAGGGGTAGTCTTCTTAAAGAAGCATCTTTCATTTCAAGATCAAGCGATCCGTTCCTATTTCTCTCTCCCCCAGCCGACTGTAGAGTGAGATAGATAAGGGGTTCACTCGATCACAGCGACGCTTGCGACTAAAAGTTGAAATGCAACCTGCTTCTAAGAGGACTACCGCCACCGCTGAAAGTTGGGCGAGTTGCAAGACCTGTATGTAAGACTGTGGTTGGAGCTCATTTTCTCTTTAAACTATTCTAAACTACGCAAACTGTATTCCCTAGACGGATACAACCTACGGGAAAACAAACCGCTGGATATGCCCACTAGAGTCGCTGTGGACTTCAAGTTTGGTTCTAAACACTGCTAAACGCAGTAAATTTCGGAACACACCCTAAGTAACCTAGACCCGCTGCAATTAGTCCCGATTCTTTAACATGGAAGTTGATATCATGGACTCTAGACAGAAGGAGGCTGCAGTATGGGTATCAGAATTAGGAAGAAATTGGTGGAGAGTGTCGCTTTCGGTAATTGTCACTTGACGGCGCTGAACACAGTAACTTCGCGACCACCACCTTTTACATATATTGTGGCGCGCTCGATTTGAACTTGTAACGTACCAACGAAACCGATCGCCGGATACTATTACCGATCGAGCAGTAATCTGAACAATTAGTACTGACAATTAATGTTCATGTCGCTAGTCGCGTCATCAGATTTTTGCCAACTCCCACATTTTTCGCCCCTTTCGTTCGCCGACTGTGGCACAGTACAGAGCTAGAAACGTGTATCTCCGAAAGACGAAATTGGCGACTATACATCGGACAGGTATTATCAATAATTAATTTTAAATAGCGCAAATAAAGATCCGGTCCTTGATATATTATTATGTAAAATTATAAATTAAATAGGCGAACGAGGGCCCAATTAACGGCCGAATAACAATTACTACTCCGGTAGTTTAAAACGGGAAATGTGTGCCACGTTCATGGAGAGGATAGAATGCGTTCTTGATCCACAACGACCAATGTGCTATATCCAGTATTACCGAAAATGACGATTCTTGGATAGCCAAGGAGAAATATATACGTTGGACATCTGGAGTATTCCCACATAAGGATACAGCGCACGACAATCCTACCGGCCACGTATTTATAAATACGTTAATTTTATTTGGTTACGTTATTTTATGATATTGTGTGTTCTTTGGATGACTATGTATGAATGTGTGTTAGAGTTGTATGAGTGATATGATATGGTATCTTAGGCATACTGATCGACTCAGAACGTTCACGATTTCTATATCTTTAACTGGTTGCAAACTTTCTTTCATTGTAAATTTTTGTATTGATAAAATATTAATGTTAAAAACTATATAATTTCAATTCAGTAGTGAACGAGGTTGTAACGGCACATAGCATTATATGGAAACCAATAAGTAAACTGATATACTTTCTACCTCGATATGTATTATGACGAATTTGAGCGACAAAATATTGTTCAAAAATAATTATGTATTAGCATTTGTTCGAAGATATTATTTTTTAAATATCTTTTATATAAAGAATAAGAGGCTGAATATAATACTGATAGGTTGATGAAAAATTTATAATTCTTCAGAAAAAATGCAGTATAAAAGGGAAAGAGACAAAATGGAGAAAATAAGAGAGTGGAAAAATAAAGATTTTATAGAAAAATACGAAGCCAGACAAACAAGAGAATGAGAGAGAGAGCGTGGAAATAAAATGTAGGCGCTGGAAGAAAGGAGAAGAGAAATATGAGAAGGAGGTGGATGAAAAAGAAGAAAACGTAATGTAAGCTGTTAGAGAATTAACATTTTTGTATTTTAGTTTATTAACAAAAAACGTACATTGATGTATTCTATCAGAAGCGTAGGCTGTGCCAATGTGGGAGCCGCCATAAAGAAAATGGTAGGAGCGATTGTCGGCGGGAATACCGTATGAAATATCTATGTATATTATTGACTGCATATGAATGCACTTTAAATACTTTTGGATGCTTTTGGACAAAAATTCCGTAGCGCAAAAATGAACGTTTGCCCGCCTAAACAGCCAGCGGCTATTCATTAATTGAAGTTCACGAGATGGGTGCAACTCGTGTTGTATCTTGTTAGGAATTACTCGTTTCAGCGCCACCGCCGAACATTATTGGAAGCTTTCCTGTCCACAGTTTCAGATCCGTTTTTTTTTCTGTACCTCCTCCCACGGTCTTACATACAGGGGGTCGGTTGTGTAACTCAAATGTTGTAAAAATGCTAGAAGTGAATAGATGTTAGCCAATCGTTGTGCTTGTCTTCTTTCGAATCTAACACGCGATTGGCTAATAGCTATTCACTTTCACTATATTTCAGTTACATAATCGACCCCAAAGTCTTGTAACTCGCCAAATTATCAGCGGTGAGGGTAGAAGCACGGCACATTTTAACTTTTAGTCACAAGCGTCGCTGTGATCGAGCGACCCCTAGAGTCCCTCTAGTAAGAGTCCGGCCAACGGTGGGGCTTGTTAGTGATTGGCTCCGCCATATTATGGGCTCTTTCCGGAATAGAATGGTGTGTGTGAATACGTATATGGAAGAGATTCGGATTGTGTAGTGTGGGTAGGGTTAAGCCCTATACGGCGGATTCCCTGTACACGCGGCTCAAACGATTCTGACGCATAAAAAACGTGGCTTGAGGCATATACTGCATATACTACATATACTGCGCGTCGTAGATGCGCATAGAATCAGCTTAGAATAACTTAGGACTGTAGAGCGTGCTGAGTAGGGGAAGCCTTTTCCTCAAGCCACGTTTTTATGCGTCAGAATCGTTTGAGCCGGGTGTACTTGGCGCGAGACTCGACCGAGTCTCGCGCAATATCATGGTGGCGTCAAACAAGTCCTTAATATGGCGTCCCTTCCGGGTGTTGGCCGGACTCTTACTAGATGGACTCTAGCAACCCCTTGTCTATCTCACTCTACAGTCGGCTGTGGGAGAGTAAAATAGGAACGGGTCGCTTGATCGCAACGCCTCTTGTGGTCATGAGGCGAAATGGAAGATGCTTCTCTAGGAAGACTACCCCCTCAAAGGGAGTTGCAAGCCTTGTATGGAAGACTGTGCCCCCTCCATTAGAGTGCAGCCTCCTTCTGTCTAGAAAACGAAACGCTTAATTGGTGCATCATAACTATGTGGTCCAATTTTGGGACAACAATTCAAAGCATGGGCGGTGGATTTCTTGACAACAGTCAAGCAGGAGGACCAAGTGGGAAGACAGGGCCAAAAAGAGAACAAAAAATTTTTCCTGTAATGATATTTCATCTTAGTAATTTAATAGATGATTTGCAAGTCTGGGGTCATTCTGTTTCTATATTTACATTTATTGGAATAGTACGTAAAATTGAGCGTGTTTCAACGAAGATAACTTATCATATTGAAGACGAAACAGGTACAATTAAAATGCGTCTTACCTTATACCGTTTTCCCAGTAAACAATATTAATTTTAACGGACGCATTAGTTGCAATGTGCCCCTCATTTACAGTTTCTTGCAAAAGTCTGCGTACATTGCATAAAATGTAATATTATCGTTTAGATAGTCGGAAAGAACATAAAATAATATATGCTTGTTAGACGCAAATAAACTTTGTTCTGGCCACTAAACTTGAAAATAAATTAAGAAAACATGGTATCAGCAACAAAACCCAGATAAAAGAATTATTGTACCAGGAATAGAGAAATATTAACACAGGCAACTAAAAAATTAGTAGACTCCATACCTCAAAGACTTAAAGCAGTAATTGATGCTAAAGGATGGCCAACTAAATATTTATAATGTATCTAAGCACTTCAAGTATCAGCTATACAATACTTTTGCGAAGATTGTTTCTATTTTCTTTAAAAGATATATGTGGTGTGCTGTATATATTATTTAGTGAGTCAAATAACGTTTATTTGCGTTTAACAAGCATTTTTTATTTTGCATTCTTTAGGAATATATAAAAAATAGCATTACATTTTATCCACCATATCCAGACCTTTTCAAAACGCTGTATATTGCAGCTTATGTGTGCGTTACATGTAATATTGTGGTTGCTGGGTTGTTGTTTAATCTTACATTTGTGTAAATTATTTTTATTAAAATAGATAGCATAGTGGCTCATTTCTGGTTAGAAGCAGATGATGAAAAGACTGTACCAAAAATTACTGAAAATAAATATACACGTGTCTACGGAGTTCTTCGTAATCAGGGAGATCAGCAACACGTTCTGATTTTACGAATCTGGTCACTTCAAAGCATGAATGAACTCACAAGTCACCTTTTGGAAGTTACATATGTTATGCTAAAGGCTAAGAAAATTTATGGAGAAAAGCAAAGCACAAATCAAAATGCATTGGAAACAGATGCCAAATATATAAGTGGTATGATGACACCAGAACAACAAATTATTTTTGAAATTATTCATGCTGAAATTAATTCTGAAATTGGTATTATGAGAGAAACAATTAAGCAGAGAGCACCTGTAAATATTAAGGCACAAGTTGATAATATTTTTCAATCCCTTGCCTCTGGAGGTCACATATATACAACTTGTACGGAGCACCAATTTAAAACAACCTGAGTTTACTTATTATATATGATTATGTATGTTCGTAAGAATGATTGTAATACTTACTAATATTTGTAATTCTCCATATAGTCAAAAATATGTATTTTTTTATTATTAAATAATTGTTCACAAAGGTATTACTGTTGTTTCAGCTACGATCTTTAATTATTATAATTAAATGCAATATTTTAATAACAATGTGTTTCACGTGAAATTTAACTGTGATAATGTTGATAGTCTCAAGAAAGTAGGTTGTCGCAAGTTTGATAAATTTCTTTTTCACTTAATTTGTTCAAAGATTCTGTCGTAGAATTAACCCCGACAAAAACACTTTTATGGAAAAAAAAACGCACCAAGTATAGGACTACTGTGAATTCTCCTAACAAAAAATATTGAAATTACATTATAATGCCAAGTACATAAGTCAGTAGATTATATTAGATTTTTATTAGCCGTTCTTGCCCTCTTGGGCTTAAGAATCTTAGAACCATTCCACAATATTAAACTTTCGCTTAACTTAGCTTTGGCAATTCAATTCTCTACATCCTTTGGTTTCCTCACTTAATAATAATGACTCGCTCTGTCCCCGTCTCATTACATCCTCCCTTAACTCCGTTTTTTCCTTCGCCCTTGCAGTTCTTTCAAATATACTGCAATGTTCGCACAATTCCACCCTTACCGACCCAACCAAAATTCCTCCTTTCAAAATTCCTTCCACCTCCATCCTCAAATCCGCTTTTACTACTCTCAAATTCTTTACAGTCCAATATATGCTCCACATTTTTTGTCTTCGTTGCACAAAATCTACATTTAACGTGTCCGTATCCCTTGTTCCTCGCTGGTTCCACATCACCTCATCTCATTCTCGCCCATTATTCCGTGGCCTTGAGTTTCCTATTCTGCTTGTCCCAATACTTGTCATATCAAGAGACTTGGTCGAGTCTCGCGCCAAGTACAGGCAACCCGCCGTACAGAGCACGGCCCGCCGAGTCTTTACCCGCGTCAACTCCTTATACCCGTGTTTGGAACGAAATATCTTATGAACCGCTATATACGAGAAAAAGTTATTGATACATTCACTATAGGAATTAAGGGTTCTGAATTGATTGCCATCAAGTTCAATACGATTAGTGTACGAGATCATGGCGTATTGAGATGGCGAGCGAGATGATTTTATTTCAGGTTCGTCGTCGTCTTCGCACGTCCATCTACTTTTTTTACACGACGGATGGCGCTGACTGCTTTGCTTTCTTTATCTATTTGTACTTTGGATGATGTTGGTAATTTACGAATACACAACAGAATCAAATACACTTTTTACGTGAAGCTACCGTTCACACCGAATTTCCAGGGCTGGTTCAATTTTCAAGGCTGCTTTCAGAATAGTATAGAATTATTAAGGCTTTCATGTGGAGCGCGTGTATATGGGTGTACGTATGTGTGTGCTTTGACATGGTCCTCGTATTTGAGGTGACAGTTTTCAGAGATATAGGATGTCCAGGTGTTCCTCTCCGTAGTTTCCTGTATCCAGGTGTCGGATGTGGAAGTCCAGCGTGTCCAGGTGTCCCGCTCCGTAATTTCTTGTATCTAGGTGTTAGATGCGGAAGTCCAGGTTATCCAGGTATTCCTCTCCGTAGTTTCCTGTATCTAGGTGTCGGATGTGGAAGTCCAGCGTGTCCAGGTGTTCCGCTCCGTAGTTTCTTGTATCTAGGTGTTAAATGTGGAAGTCCAGGGTGTCCAGGTGTTTCTCTCTGTAGTTTGCTATATCTAGGTGTCGAACGTGGAAGTCCAGGATGTCCAGTTACTCCTCTCCATAGTTTGCTGTATTCAGGTGTCGGATATGGAATTCCAGAGCGTCCAGGTGTTCCGCTCCGTAGTTTCTTGTATCTAGGTGTCGGACGTAGAAGTCCAGGGCGTCCAGGTGTTCTGGTCCAGCGTGTCCAGGTGTTCCGCTCCGTAGTTTCTTGTATCTAGGTGTCGGACGTAGAAGTCCAGAGTGTCCAGAAAAGTGTGCAACGAGCGACGCTTTGGCGCTTCCCTCAAACCATAGTATCCTCTCTGTTGTTCGCACGGCCTGAGGTACGTAAATAATCCAGCACACTCTCCTCTCTTACGTTTACCACACGGCTTCAACAAGCTGGACACCATTAACGACGCTTATATGCATTCAAGATTACATTTTTTTTTTAAATTTGTATATATCTTTATGCATTTCTAGAAAAAAGGGATTTACAAATTAAATTTATATGCCATTAAACATTTTCAACAACGCAATATATTTTTCTGATATCATAATGCATTCACATTTTATATCTGCGAAAATATAGATTTCAGTGCTTAGAGCTTCTGTATCCCGTTGAGCAATAAAAACTTGTGATATCCCCCAAAAAAACACTTCCGTGTAAAAAACTACATACGCTAAGTACAGGAGTGTTTTGAATTCCTGTGACAAAAAGTATTGAAATCATATTATTGAGGCCAAGTACGTAAGTTACTGCATGTTTGCCTATTATAAATATAATCTAGCAGTGGCTCATCATTTTAATTGTATGTTAAAAATTTCCTATAATGTTTTTGCTACTCTTTTACATTACTACTGCTTCCCGTAATTGATTATGATTTAATGGTCATTTAATAATTAATAAAACTTTAGGTGATTCAATATAGAGTATTCCTTGGCGGGTCCAAATTTATATCAAGAAATTCACGGACCCGGCAAGTAGTACTCGATAAGCAATTACCCATTATTATTTTTTCTTAACAAAAACAACAAGTTCGATTAACAGAAGATGCATTTTTTTTCGTGGAAAAATACGAATTTCAACCATTTGTTTACATGTGGTATTTTCACAATAAATAAATAAATAAATTTTATATTCTTTTTAGACTTAACAATATCAGGGACCATGTGGAACAAAACAAATTGGCGGTTGTTGCCAAAAAAGTAGTTTAATAAATACAGAACTGCAAAAAAAGTTGGGACGCTGAGCGTGAATCAAAGAGTTAAGGGATGAAGCACCCCTATGAAAGTGTAACCAATTTCTTGTAAATATCGTATTTAATGAATTTCGTTTGCAAAAGTTTAAATATTTGTGCACAAAAGAGCTTCGTAATTATTGAAAAAGAAAATTCAAGCAACATAATGCCGTTTTAATGAGAAATTGTTTCCACCTGCATAGAGGTGATTCACCCTTTAAACGAGATGTTTTCGAGAAACGTAAAGACATTTATCTCCTAGTCTTTTTTAGCTCTTTCAAATTCAATTGATTTCATTGAAATCCGAACGATAGTTATTTGTCATAAAATTTTGAAATTTTCAACCCCTATAAAGTTGTACGAATTTATTCTATTAGAACTGAACAAAATGCATTTTTCATCATTCGCCATAAGCATTAACCTTCAATTGGTTCCATTTAAATATCTCAAGTGGAAATATGCGGAATCATACTGGGACTTTAAGGGTTGATATCACCCTTTGAAACAGCTTTTCCGCAGATAAAAGAAAAATACGTGTTTTATGCTCTTCAACATATTTAATTGTAATTTTCATCAAAATCGAAGGAAGACAATGAAATACCTTTTTTATAATTGTTACTGGATGAAAGTCTTTAGAAGAAAAAAATGTTCGTAATAATACTTTCTGCTTGCTTACAGGAGGAGGAACTCAGAGTAAGCGGAGATCCCAAATTCTCCCATCTAATGGAGGATTTACACGTGGAAATTTCGGCGTATGCGACGCCAGCCGAAGCTCATGCACGAATTGCTTATGCTCTAGCTGAAGTGCGACGCTTCCTAGTTCCGGTAAGCTTTTTGCATCCTACTTCTATCTTGGTTATAGTAAATACCATAACAATTAGGACATTAGTTCTTTTGCTACATATAAGGCATTACATTGTAGTTCAGGTAATTGTTCCATACACTTCATCGCACTCTGACCCTGTTATACTATTACTACTAAAGGAACAATGGAAGTCGCAGTTCTTTATGGAAATTCTATAAATCGCAATTATGATTTTCTTAATGATTCTGCTATTATCCGAGACCGGCATTGGCAAGCCGAATTTCGCCGAAACAATTTCCGATACTCGGGAGACCGGTTAGAGTTCCTAGTTTAACAGTATCCAGGTCCAACGATCGCGTATTGTATCAGCATGATTTTTAAACCGAACTTGACTTGCGCTGTCTTTATTGCTAGTTTCTTACTTGTGTCTGTTCCCTCCGCTCAAAACCAACGAGGTGACGGTTGGTGACGGATCGTTTTAGAATATCATTTCACAATGTAAATATAGCTCATATCTCAGCAACTCACGATCGTCATTCATGTTACGAAAGTTATTCGACGTCAGTTAATCATATCTATTCGATGTAGGCTGATTGAAAGCTCTCGTTCTTTTATACCGCCTCTCGACATAAATACATTGTTATCTAAGTATACATAGATATAAAATTTGTCTTGTGTCATTTTATCTTTAAAAACCGAATCTCTAAACAGAACTATAACTTTTTTAATACTGGACTGAGCGTTTTCATCTTAGCCTCCTTAATAATTATCTTAAAAAGTGTCTGAATGGTAATATAACAATGTCAAATGTTTTTATACTTCCTGCAGTTTTATAATAAAATTCATATAATTTTATAACTGTCCTCAGTATTGCACGATTTGCTGAAGACCACAGAACAAGACCTATTGAATGTTGCAAAATTCAGAAGTTAGCAAGAAACTGACGCTTATTATATATTTCACGATTTTCCATTTAATGTAATTGTTCTGCACTCGATGTAGAATGGTCTCGTTAAGATTACCAGTGTATATGTATAGATATATTTTAATGAGTCAGATATATACATTACGTATTGTCTACCACTACAACGGGCCTATTATTCGAAAATTGGACTTTGATAGCACGAATTTACCACCGCGAAAATTCCTCGTTGTGTGAAATTAATTGTAATTCCAGATCCATTCATGCACCTTTTCTCCTAAAATTCATGAGAAAGTACAGAATCTATTTATCTGGATTAATAATGAGTTTTTTTTATCATAAAAATGAATGTTATGCTTTCATTTAGAACTTAGTTATGAACTGCAACGATATTTCTAATAAAAAGATGTTCCAAATCTTTTCGTCGCAAAACGGCCGGAAGTTAACTCCGACACAAAAGAATGTTCGGAATCACCCCAACATCCCTCTATCCCTCTGAGTGTTTCTCTCATTTATTGGCTGAGGAGGAGTACGAAATTGATCCGTAGTAGTAGTTTAGTAGTTTTACTGTGCTACTCTTATCTGTTATTGTATAACGATTAGTATTAATATATATTTTTCTCTCAACATTGTAATGCCACTATGAAATACCTCACATTATGCTTACTTTGCTCTGTTAAGTAACACATTTTATTTTTTTCTACTTTTAATGTATATTTACATAGGTACTTCTTACTGCATATCTAATACTACTGTCTATCGCTACTGTATGCCACTATTAGTTATCGGTTAGCGGTGATTATTGTACTTTAATAATTAGTTGCTTATGTGTTTTTCTTATTGTATATTTTTTGGCTTACTCACTGAACTTTGACAGTAATGTAATTCTTGTCTGCGGTCCTTAGGGAGCCATGCTCCAGGATCGAATAAACCACCATACCTCTACTCCACTCTACTCTCTTTCTCTCTTTCACTAACACTAAGCAAGGGTTGAGCGCCAGGTATTCTTCGCGGGAGTATCACGATTGCGACGCACTCTCTTCGTAATCTAAGTATTTACTTCATTTGGAAATGTCATGTTACACTAAAAATTAATGACTAATATAACGGAATCGGGGACTGCGCGACAACCTAAGACGAGTCTCCCGTTCACAGAGGGTCATCAAAATTACTAACGGAAGCGAGGGCTACGTCAACAACCTAAGACGTGGCTCCCGTCCACAAAATTTCACGAATGTTCACCAAAGAAACAACGGCAAGTCTGGAAGATATTCACTGTGCCGTGGAATAGAGAGAGAGAAAGAGAGAGTCGCTAAAATGTATACTTATCACCAAATGCCAAATTCAGAAGAACAGATCGAGTAGGTTAGATAACAAAAATTAGGAAAAACAATTAGGTCAATTTAACGCAGCGAAGCTATATTTTGAAGCAAATTTTGAAAAAAGTAAAAGAAAATATCATACACCAAAACAAAAGTCTTACAAAACAAAAAAAGGATTCTAGATAAACTCGAAAATAGTTGATCTAAGAAAGAAACTATCAACATGCTGCATGAATTAGAACGAACAAAAAAAACTAAAGCAAGCAAAAGCAGAAACTCAGTGATAGATAGGCGTAGGTAAATTTAGCAAATTACACACAAAGCTCAGGCTACATTATGCAAAAAAAATGATTCTATACAAATTTAAAGTAAGATAAACTCCAAGTGACTATTATAATAAATTCCCGTCAATAATACATAATTAAAAAAATTTACTATTCATAAAAAAGAAGACTTGGACAATGCCTTTCCTTATACCAGGCTAAGTTACGAGACATTGCGTTCCGAAGGGCAACCCCATGGGTATTCTAGATTATATCATAATAACTACGCACGCAAAGACACACATATCCCATTTGCAGTTATTCCTTGCCCATACGTCAGCAATGCAGCGGTGTGATGCAAGCCGTCTCCCACGTCTCGAGCTCCAGTTTGCCGAAGTCGATGGGCGCACCTTTCCAAGCTTGCCGTACCACACAATCCGTCCACACGTGGTCGTCATCCCGAAGGATTACTTTGTTCAGCCCAATGAGTACTATCGGGGAACTCGTAATGACTATAAAATGCCCTGTCTCCTGGTACTGAGAGAGAGAATTGAGGTGAAGAAAATAACGGAAAAATAGAATACAGAACTTCACATGTAGTGCGCCTATATTTTAGAGATGAATTTATCTGTCTAGTATTTCGTGTATGCGTCTAGTCCGCTGGACTGTCCGTTGGCGAAAGGGCCGAGCGCTGATAAGCAGCGGCGGTAGTTCAGTTTGCTAATTCATAGGCAGGGCACTACTAGGTTTTATAGCGACTGACTGAAATGCTCTATCGCTCTCATGTACCAGGTTACAATATAATCGGGGAAATATAACAAATACTCGAATTAATACGTAATATAACACCAAAAATGCGGAATGATTTATAATATTTTTTTTTTAATTTACGTGGGAAGAACGCTAACAAGACAATTTCAATGCGGAACAATCCACAAAATATTAATCGAATGTCTAAACTTGATTAATACTTCTAACAATAATTTACAGTAACGTCTTATAGATCCTAAAGTATTTTTCGGTTCCTGACTAAAAGTTCGCACGGCAGCTGTATTAGCGTAGTTGACGGCGCACCCGTGAGCGGCGAGATTGAAAAGTTCGTATATGCGGGCTTAGCGTGTAATCGCATAGAGTTGAAGCTCTAGGTGCGCTCACGACACAAGGCTGTATGTAACGATTTGAGTATCGTACTGTTAACTACTGAATTATCCGATGGTCATGCTTTACGGAGATGCTGTAAAATAAATACGACTCATTACAGGTACATAAAATACTCGAATAATTACAAAGAAAGCCTTGTTACTAACAAGGAAACCCCCCCAACCCGACCCCACCGATTTCAATAATTTTTTGATATGTGTAGTACTCGACAAAATAAGAGACACGTATTTTTTTTTTTGTGCTGACATCCACTTTAAAGGGGTGAAAACGACCCCTGAAATTCACCCCCGAAAATCGTTTTTTCATCATATCTCGACTTCTAATTAATATTTTTTAATAAAACCAAGTGGAAAATATTTGTCATAAGAAGTCGAAGATATGAGGTTTGTTAATGACCCAAGGGGTTGCAACCCTTATTTTATATTTTGAAAAAACTATATTTTTTATGCTCTTTTTCTGCATAAAAACCGGGGTATGCGCTCAAAAAAATAAAGAAAAGCGTTTCCGTTAACTCCATCAAATATTTCAGTTGGGGTGTTTCAGGATTTTTCAAAGGGATAAAAACCACCCCTAAATTTTACCCCCGAAAATTGTTTTTTATCATATGTCAGATTCTAATTGATATTTTTTAATAAAACCAAGTGGAAAATATTTGTCATAAGAAGTCGAAGATATGAGGTTTGTTAATGACCCAAGGGGTTGCAACCCTTATTTTATTTCAGAGTTACAAGTTTTTCACGCGGATACGAAAGAGTCGAATGCATCCGGGAATGCGAAAATTAAGAGAAAGGCACATGGCATATAAAAGATAAAAAACAGATAACACCAAGAAATTACATAAATCGTGAGATCATAAAATATAACAAGTATCACTAGGAACATCTTATAGTTGCTCCATCAGTTATTCCATACGATATTTATTTTACATTATGATTTAATTTTTCCAGAAGAATAATGTACACTACCGCTCAGAAGTATTTGTCGACTACAATAAATCGCTATAAGTTTCTCTAATTTAATTTTACATTAAACAAACACTCTTACTAGGTAAGTACAACCCAAAACGTAGTCAGTATTGTATAGATACTATTTAGGAACACTTTTTTTTACATTTTGTGATATCGCTCGATTTATACAGTGTAACTTGAGATGGTTCTGCGTACTTCTAAATTATCGAAGCGAATATTTGCAATTGAATTATATATCTCTTATAATCAGAATACAATACAAAAACCAGTCTACTGTCAAGTTTTAATTATTGGGAACGTTTAATAGTGCACAAGCATCGATCAGTGACAGTTTCTCTTTATATAATTTACTCAGGATTGGAAACAGTAAACAGTTATAATTTGTCTTCATATATTAAAAAAAATTAATCAGCAAATCGCCGCTTCATTAAAGTTATCGCGACGAACATTGGATTACAACGTTAGAAAACATTTAATGTCTAATAGTTTAGGGAGTAGCAAACGCTCAGAACGTTCATGAAAGACAATCATTGCTCAAGTAATAGACGTAATAGACGTTAATTACAGACGTAATAGATGACTTACTGCATCACAGAATACTGCACAAGTGAATGGATCTAAGGAAATCCCCGTATCGGTACTGTCAAAAGACGACTAAATAGAGCGGGTCTCTTTAGACGAGTAGCAGTAAAAAAATCTCGCTGGGCTCAAGAACACAAAAATTGGACACATGAAGAGTGGAGAAAGGTGTTGTAGAGTGATGAGTCCAAATTTGAGATATTTGGATCAAAAGGAAGAAGAATTCAGAGTACAGCTCAAGAGGAAGGAATTTCATTTTTTGATAGCAAAATGATCCAAAATACTCCTCTAAGATATGCAAAAAGTATTTAACATATTTATGTTAGAGCGGAAAAATATGCTACAAGTAACCTTGGTCATCCCAGTATCCCGATCTCAACCCTATCAAGTTGCTATGAGATAAATTAGACAAAGAGGTGAGAATAAAAATATCTCTGGGATGTCCTAAAGAGTGGATAGAAAGTAATTAATAAAGATTATTTATCAAATTTAATTGATAGAATGCCAAAACGCGGCAGTTATAAAATCAAAAGGAGGTTATATTAACGAGTCCAAAATTGAAAAATATTTAATAAAAAGTTCATTCCAACCTTGTCTTTACTATTATAATTACTTTTATTAACATAATCGTTAAAATAATAAGACAAGAACCACATTTTTATAATTATTTCAATGCTAATCAAGCGAAATATAGGATAAACTAATATTTTTGAGCGGTAGTGTATTTGCTTCTAATAAGCCGTGCTCAGAAGGAGCGGCAAGAACGGCCGGTGAAAACACGCGCGATCACCGCGAGGGTGAACCGTATATCGCGAGAACAATGAATCTTCGGTATAGTTTAATTTACTCAATTTTCCCAGAAGGGTATCCAATATCCTCAAGTATGACCTAAGCAAGAAAAATTCAATAAACAGCGACTAGAAAATGCGAGGTAGAAACAAATTACAGTATAATCCGTTTACTATGACTCCGCCTATATCGACCAACTGCTTAATATGACGTAATTGCAGTGCGAAGTTTAGTTTTCATATAAACTACTGTGAAACAAAGTTCAGATATAATGACTTCGCTTATAGTGACATATCGCTTATTATGACCTATTTTTAAGAAATTATGTCCGGTTATAGTGACCGACATGATTTCTAACATTTTCGTTCGATTTCACGACCCCTCCCACCCTTCCCCTGCGCCAGCAACGTCCGGTGTGTGTGTGCGTGGCGCGTGGCTCGTCTTTATTTTGATTCTCAGTACCGAGTTGTTAGTCTAACGCTACGCTATATTAGTGGTTTGTGCACAAAAATGATATCGCAACGTCGTAAAGCATTTACTATTGAAGAGAAACCTGCAATT